AACTCAAAATTTTTTAAAAGAAAATGTTTAAGAATTGTTTTAACATGCAATTGGGGAAAAAATAAAATATTATTTAAAAAAAAAAAAAAGAACACCTAAGCCAGACCCTAGTTAGCATTCTTGAACAGCAGAGTAGTGGAAAGTGCATTAAATGTGGCAGAGAAAGTTCTAGGTTTGAATGTTGGCTGTCTCCTTATTACTTGTGTGGTCTTGAACAAATCCTGTAAGCAGTCTGGGTCTCAGTTTCCTTATTGCTAAAATGAGGGGCTTGGATTAGATCATTTCTATGGTTCCCTCCAGTTTCAAATCCTATGAGAACCCATTTCACAGCATGCTGAATGAAGGAACAGAAAAGTTGGGTTTCCTTTGGCTCAAGGCCTGAAGAGACTTCTGTGATTTCCTCAGCTCCATTACCTCTGGGATTGCCCCAACACCTACTATGATGCCCCACTCGCTGCTAGCCCAATACCGATTGTGTGTGTTGTGACTGGAGGTGTTATCCTCAAATGTGAAACTTCCCAAGGTCAAAGGTTTCTCCAGTCCTTGGACATCAAGTGATGGCTCTAAGGTTTGGTCGCTGTCTATGGGATGACTGTTCCAGTCAAGCTGCCCTCTTTGGTCACTGCCACTTGCCAGTACTGACGTGTCACGGAGAGAAGAGGGTTTCAGAAGATTCACTTCATCTGCAGGGACCTCTGTAGTCAGGCCACCAAGAACAAGCTCCAAGCTGTCTGTCACTGATGTTCCAGTCGGGCTGACAACAGCAAACTCTGCTGGCTGTGTATGCTGTGTAACAGTGATATGGGGCCTGGAAACTAAGAAAATAGAGACCCAAAAACACAACAAAGAAAGAGCAACGGTGTTATCTTTGCACTGACCAGGACAAAAGCCCTGGATTTTGAACAGTTGTTTATTTACTTTTCATTCATCTGACTCTCCATGGAGTTTTCTTGGCAAGATACTGGAATGGTTTGCCATTTCCTTCTTCATCTCTTCTTACAGATGAGGAAACCGAGGCAAATGGGATTAAGTGACTTGCCCAGGGTCATACAGCTAGTAAGTGTCTTTAACTGGATTTGAATTCAGGTTTTCCTGACTCCAGGCCCAGCACTCTATCCACTATGCCATCTAGCTGCCCTGGATTTGGGACTAGCAGACCTAAATTCAAATCCTGGCTTTGACTCTTAGTAGCTATTGCTCCTGCACCAAATCAGGCATCCACTTGTGGAAATGATGTGAGAACTTGAAATGATTGTCTAGTTCATTCCTCACAAAACACGCAATCTTTTCACTTATCTATCTATCTCAGGTGGAAATACGCCCCTCCCCCAAGTATTAATGCTTCGGCTTTGTACTTCATGGTGTAATGAAGTGTAATGTACTTCATGGTGTAATGTACTTCATTAGAGTAATAATTAGAGCTGGCATTAAGTTAGTGCTTTACCATTTGCTTTTTTACATACATTTTCTCACTTAATCCTCATAACAATATTGTGATGTGGGCACTAAAGATGACTATAATCTTCATACCTTCTTACAGAGAAGTAAACTGAACTCAAAGTTTAAGAAACTTGGCCCAGTTATACAGCTAGCAAGTAGGAGAGACAAGATTGAAAAACAAGTTCTACAGTTTCCTCATCCTACCTAGCATAAACCAGAACAGTGTTCAGGCAGCCCTGTGTTGAGAGGAAAGTGATTTGCAAACCTTAAAGCCCTATAGGAATGTGATTTGTTATTGTTATTATTATTGGTTATTACTAAAACCAAGGATGAATGTTGGGCCTTCCTAACAGGCCTAAAGGAAAAGCCATTAAGGGTAGGCTATTCCAATTTGTCAACATCAAAAACTGATCTGTCCATTAATAGAAGGCCCAACGCAAGCAATGAAGCAATCAGTTTCTTATGTTTCTTTAAAGGCCAAATGCCTGGCACCACTCAGATTTTGTTACTCTTCATGATTGCAAATCAGTGCATATAGAAATCAAAGTGGTCACTTGGCTCTCTATGGCCCTCTCAGGGCTGGAAACTCAATTGACTCTAATTTGAAAATACCAGAATTCAAGGACCCAAGGATCCCAGCTGAAGATCTGGCTTCTGTTGCCATATCATTGGCAATTAGACCACTAGTAGGGAGCTGGGCATAAATTCTAACCAAGTATTTGTTTGCTGTCCAACTGGCCTTTTTTCATTCTGGTTAACAAGACTGCGCAGGAAAAAATAGACATTATGAGTCTGTGTTACACAAATAGCATAGGATTGGTTGAAATTTGGCTGCCTTTATCTCAACATTTTTTAATTAAAAAACAAAACAAAACAAAACCAATTATGATAATGGAGGGGAAGAGATCACCGGGACAAAGGTCGCCAAAAGAAGCAACACAGACATATGGAATATCATTGAAATGCTGACCACTAGGCAAGGCTAGTCTGGACTCTGGCCAGTCAAATGTAAAACTTGCTCTGCCTAAGCAGAGAGAGAGAGAGAGAGAGGAATAAATAAATAAATAAAGTTAGCTCTCTGCTCTGGCTTGCTGAATTAACTGGCTAGACTAAGTTGGGCAATGAGAACCTGGCTTCAATAAATACATTGGAGAATTTTTACAGATGCATGTCAAAGTAAGAATTCAAACTATTAATAGCTTAGCTTTTTGTAGTAGCAAAAAATTAAGTAGTAGGGGCAACTTGTAATATGTGAATGGAATGAAATATGACTATACTTTAGGAAAACATAAATATGCAGAATACAGAGAAGAATGGGAAGACATACAAACTGATGCAAAGTGAAATAAACAGAGCATGGTGGGTGGTGGTAGAATGTACACAATGAAATTGTAAAGAACAAAAGGAAAAAAATCAGAACTGAGTTCTGGGGAATTATAATGACCAAGCTTGGCCCTAAAGAAGAGATATGAGAATTCTCCTTTAGAGAAGTAGGGAAATATGGGTATAGAATAGTGCAAATAATGAAGAATTTGGTTGCTATGTGGTTTAGTTTTGCTAGGGTAGTTTCATAAAAAGAGAAAGTAAATAGTTTTGAATGGATTATTGGTATGGACCAATAGCCTGGGGCTCATCAATTAGATGCAATTATGATTTTAAGAGATAAATTTATCTGTGTAAAAAAGTGTAATTGGTCAGAGCCAAGATGGCAGAGTAAAAACAGTGACTTGCTTGAGCTCTTCCCCAAACTCCTTTAAATACCTGTAAAAATGGCTCTAAACAAATTCTAGAGCAGCAGAACCCACTAAAAGACAGAGTGAAACAAATTTCCAGCCCAAGACAACCTGGATGGTTGATTAGAAAGGTCTATCCACCAGGCTGGGAGAGAAACACAGTTCAGCGTGGGCATGCAGGCAAAACAGGCCTCAGCAAACCTGGAGCAGGCCTCAGAGGACTGAATCCTGGGCAGCTGTGGTGGTTTCCAGACTTCTCAACCCACAAATGCCAAAGACAACTTAGAAGGTCAGTAGGAAAAATCTGTGACCACAATGAGAGAGAAGCTCTGTCCCAGCCCCAGTCCTCACAAAGTCTCAGGGCAGCAGCTGCTTCTAGAGCTCTTGGTCCACAGACTTGAGGGGGAATCGAGTGGCTGATCAGAGGAGGATTGCAGAGATGTCTTTGCTGTTGCTGAAGCAGGATTCTCTTGCTTTGCCTGTGCTTGGATCTAGGTCACAGTTCTGGGTGGCAATCCTGGGGCGAGGAGGAGTGCTGGTGTGATGGAACTTGTAGTGGTGGTGGAGGGGAAATCCTCCTCACAGTTCCAAGGCAGAAAAGAGTGCTTGTGGTCACTCATAGACTAGAGCATAGGCGAGGAAGGGAGTAAACACCTCTCCCTTGATCATACCACCTTGGAAGAACTGAAAACTTATGGGTCCCTAGAAGTATCTCTGAAAACAG